AGGGTTTGTTTAAATGGAAGGGTTTGGGTTTATAACTTCAATCTCATTTCTTGTATCCTCGTTGTTTGTCATTTTTTTATATCTAAAACAAAAAAGATAACAACCAAATTATTAAATCTCTTTACTTTGAAATCACAACAACAAAGAATCAAATAAACCACTAAATATGAAAAAGAAATATACAAGAGTCATGAAGATTCAAGAGTTTAAACAAGAAATTGAATAAAAGTAAAATACCTGGATGACAATGAACAAGAACTTTGAGAATATGTTATTGTCAAACCCTAGTCATGGGTAAAAGGGGAAGATGCGAATGAGTGACTCAAGTTGGATTATTAGGATTATGGAAGTGAAATAGAGTAGCTGGAGGTGATGGGGTTGCCATGGAAGAGAGACAAGTTTGAAGATGATGAAGTTGTCATGGAAGAGAGAAAAATATCAAGGTGAGTAGTTGGGAAAAATGTGAAATGACAAATGTGAGAAAATAAAAGTAAGGAGAGAAGCCTCCATAATGAAAGTAAAGAGATAATGTTCTTTCAGAAAATGAAGGTAAGAAGAAAATGAAAGTAAGGAGATGGGGTTAGGAGGGATGGGTGAGGTAGGGAGAAAATGAAAATAAGGAGGTGACGGGGTTAGAAAATGAAAATAAGGTGTGAAAAAAAGTTACAGTATACACACTACTGTTAGTTAGTGTTAAACATTAAAAAAAAAAGTTATATAAATATATATTAAGGACGGGCCGGATGACCCTAAGGCAGACCCGGACCCGTACTGACCCGGTAATGTCTTAGTCCTCTTTTGTGCGGATCTGTCCCTTCTGATACATGTGACCGGGTCTGACCCGACCCGAAGCTAATGAGACGGGCCGATTTTCACGGGTTGGATCAGGTCTTGCTCTCCCCTACTTCCATGTATCACAATTTCTCAACCAACTTTAATTTGAGTCATCATTTATATTTGATAGGGGACAATTTAATGGGGAACAACAAATATTTTGTAACTTTAATAGAATTCACAATAAAGACTTGGGTGTACCTATTCTAAAGAAAGAGTGATGTGTTTGTCACTTTTCTTAGTTTCAAAGCTAAGTTGAGAGACAAAGTGAGCAGAAGTTGAAGTCGTTGAGAATTGATGGAGGTGAAGAATACATGTTAAGTGAATGGAAAGAGTATTATGCTAAAGAGTGATCACATTGGCTACCACCATCACCACTTTCATCACCAACCACCGTCACCATCTTGACCACACCAATTACCACCCGACCACCATCCATCTCTGATGACCATCACCATCATCACTTGATAATAACCACCTTTAGCTCCACCACGATCATCACCACCATCACGTGACCACCACACTATCATTATATTTGACACTATCATCATCACCATTTTCACCATCACATCCATAACTATTGTAACAATTTAAGAAGGTAGGAACATAGTAAAACCAAGAAAACGATAGCAAAACATAAAATAAAATATTATTTTGGAAATAGTTGTGACGTGGCAAACCACCGCCCTGAAAGCGAAATAGTTGTAACAGAACACTAATTTAGAACACTGATTTATAAGTATGAAACTAGCAAAATATCCGTGCATTTGTACGGGTCGGTATTTTATGTTGTATGATTAAGAACACACAATACATATTACATGTGTTCATATGATTATTAAGAATACACTAACTGTTTGTACATTTGAATGATTGAAACACATATATTACATGTGCATTCGTAAACACATGTTACTCATACACTTTTGTAATTTTTTGATTGATTTTCATACTCAATAGTCTATATATTTGGCTAACTAATAAATACAATAAAAACTTGTATTGTTCATTCTTAATATAGACATGTAAATATAGAAAACTTATATATTTGTTAATATAACTTGTTGATATTTTCCTTTATTTCCACAATATTATTTCTTATTAGTTGTTAGTATAATTGATATATTATTTTATATTTTTTAAAAGGTATATAAAATGGGACATTATAATTAATTACTTAGATTTTTTCAAAATAAATATGAGTTTAATCATTTAGTATGACAAAGTACCAAACCGATAAATGAAACCTCCCATTGTAAGTATGGGAGAGATGAAGAGTTAGGAGATAGATAGGAGTAGGAAAAATGAGTAAAGAAGATGACAATGATCATATTTAAATGAGCAAAGAAATCATTATTTTTAACAATTAAAATTAAAATTCAGAAATAGTTATTAATCATGATTGGCATTTGAATCTCACTTATTCCGTTTTTTTTAAATTAAATAGTTGTTCCTCACAATTAATTTTGGGATTTGAATGATGATTGTGTTTTGGGTTGAATTTCTCTTTAATGTTTATTAGACATGATTGTCTTTGAATGCCTTTTTTTTTTAATTAAACAATTGTTCCTCGCAATTAACTTTGGGATTTGAATGATGATTATATTTTGGGATTAAATTTTTCTTTAATCTCTATTAGGCATGATTGCTTTTGAATGTTTTTTATTCCGTTTTTTAAAAATTAAAAATTTGTCCACACAATTAATTTTGGGATTGATCATATTTCCAATTTTAATTAAAAATGTGTTTTTCAATTTCAACATTTTTTAGTCAACCTCTACTAATTTATTCAAATCACAAAAACAAAAAGGAAGTTGTTGTCTAAGGAGTAATATCTTTTAGAATTAATTTTATTGTCATAAATGAATAAAATTAGCAATCTATCCTTATTAATAATCTTTTTTTGCAACCATGTTATTCTTTTATCCATACTTAATGGTTTAATAAAAATAAGTTGACACTCATCAAATAAAATAAATATAAGTTTAATCATTTAGTATGATAACTTTGAAAATAATATTTTAGTAATAAATGAGCATTGAAATAGAAAAGTTGTAATTATATATTTCGATTCTTTTTTAAAATAATGTAAGCCTTAATTATTTATGATCAAAACTGCTAAAATATTTTAAAGATAGTTATAGAAATGTATGAACAATATTAATAAATGGAAATGAAAACATTATAATTAATTTTTTAGTTTTTTTTTTAAATTAAAGGAGACGTACTAATTTGCATATAGCGATTACTATACATTATTTTTTAGCTTAAATAACATCATCGATCTCACCAATAACATCATATTAAATGACAATGTATGTTTCTATTCCCTTATATCACTTTTATTTCTTTCATAATGTTCGGGATATTTATTCAAATTAATTATTAATTAGTAATTATTACTTTAAAAATTATAACTGTATAACAAAATTTATTGTCATTATTCACCTATGCAGTTTTTATTCCCTTATGAATTTTCCTTTATTTTCATTCTAATGAAGACGAAAACACGTCAATAAAATATCATAAGTTTTGAATATGATTATCACGTCAATAGTGAGAATATGATTATGAATATTAATATGTGAAAAATAAATTTGACATTAACAGTTATGACAACGTAAAAGTAAATCAAAGTTGTGATTTTTATAAGATTTTAGTCCGATCTACACTTAAAGAAGTGATTTTTATAACATTAAAAAAAAAATGATGAATACAAAGAAAATATAAAGGAAAAATGATGAATATGTTTACATTAAGAAGATGATAAGTCATATCTACACTTAATAATTGAAGTTCAAATTGAGAACATAGTTAGTAAAGAAAAATATAAAAAAAATGATGAATACAAAAAAATATATAAAGGAAAAATGATGAATATATTTACCTTAAAGAAGATGATAAGTCAGATGTATGCTTAATAGATGAAGTTCAAATTTAGTCCATAGTTAGTAAAGAAAAATATTTAAAAAAAATAATGAATAGAAAGAAAAATATAAAGGAAAAATGATGAATATGTTTACCATGAATGAAGAAGATGATAAGTCAGATCTACACTTAATACATGAAGTTCAAATGAAGATCATAGTGAGTAAATAAAAATATAAAAAATGATGAATACAAAGAAAAATATAAAGGAAAAATGATGAATACATTTAACTCGAAGAAAATGATCTAAAGATTTGAACAATGTAAGGATAGAGAAAAGAGAGAATATGATATAGAAATGAAAAAATGAAGAAGATGCAGATGAATAAAGAAAAACCTTCTTTGGAGAATAAACCCAAGTTTATATTTTGAAATGGAGAGATAATGAAGTGTTGGAGAAATTAGGGATGATGAAGATTTTGGTGAGATGAAGAAAAATGAAGAGTTTGAAGTATTGATGGTGAGAAAAGTCAGATGAAGTTTGAAGAATTGGGGATCAGAGAAGTTAAATGAAATGAAATTAGGATAAATGAAGAGTTTGGTAGATTTGGGGATAAGAAAAGGTTGGAGTAAGACACGTGGATAAACAGAGATCAACGATTAGGATGTGGGTGTGTTTAGGTGAGAAAAAAATGCATGAGGAACTGACACGTGGACAATGAATAATGTCTTGGAACCTTTTTTCTTATATAGTAATAGATAGGAGAATGTCATTTACTATTTTGTAACAAAATATCATCCAAAATAAATTAGTCATTAAAGCAAATTAAGACTAATTAAATGAGATCTTATTTGTTTGCCATTATCTAACAACTATTACGTTCCAACCATCATAACATAGACCACCATTACCTCCGTTTTTGTGATTAAAAAACGATGATTACCATGAATTTGATGATGACAACAACCACCACTATATTCACCAACAATCACCAAATTGATGAAGTGGTGATAATAAAGGGTGTCACTCGCTAATATTATGGGTGTCATGTGACAATAGTGGTGAGAAAAGAGAATACTAATTAAAGTGGTATAGAAAGTCAACAATTTTGGGTGTTGTCATTAATTTTGGTTTTCAAAAATTTGTAAACTAAAAAATAAAAACTAACCGAAATCAATTCTCAAAATTCAAACCTAGTGATTGCTTCACTAGTATGATGACAATTGGTACGTGGGTACCAGCAAATAATACATGCAATAAGAGTCAGGATCCTCTCTATTACTGAAGAGGGCAATTACATAGAAATACTAAGGGTTCTTTTGCAAGGTTCGTCCACGAATGGTGAGTCAGGGCCTAAGATTAGGCCGAAAGGCATAGTCGATGGACAACATGTGAATATTCCCGTACTACTCCTTGTTGGTCCCGAGGAACGGAGGAGGCTAGGTTAGCCGAAAGATGGTTATTGGTTCAAGGACGCAAGGTGCCCCTGCTTTTTCAGTGTAAGAAGGGGTAGAGAAAATGCCTCGAGCCAATGTTCGAGTACCCGGTGCTACGGCGCTGAAGTAACCCATGCCATACTCTCAAGAAAAGCTCGAACGACCTTCAACAAAAGGGTACCTGTACCCGAAACTGACACAGGTAGGTAGGTAGAGAATACCTAGGGGTGCGAGACAGGTCTCCGCAAAAACACAGGTCTCCGCAAAGTCATAAGACCATGTATGAGGTTAACGCCTGCCCAGTGCCGGAAGGTCTAGGAAGTTGGTGACCTAATGACAGGGGAGCCGGCGACCGAAGCCCCGGTGAACGGTGGCCGTAACTATAACGGTCCTAAGGTAGCAAAATTTCTTGTCGGGTAAGTTCCGACCCGCACGAAAGGCGTAACGATCTGGGCATTGTCTCGGAGAGAGGTTCGATTAAAGGGATAAATTTGTCACTGTCTTTTGATTTTTCTAGGTAAGTGCCATCTCCAATAATGAAGAGGAGCCTGACTCATGCAATAGGTAGGGTTTAGGAATTTGTTTTTGGACCCATGTGTAATTGAGACAAAAAATTTGAGGGGTCTGTGTCTATGTAATGAGGTACTTAGACCTGTGTTTAGCCGAAGTCATTATTCATTCCTAAATCTAAGTATATATATATATATATAATAACATAATTGTAATATCATGTTAATCATAATTGTAATATTATATTGTTAATCCATAATTATAATGTCATATTAATTCGTAATTGCCATGTTGTTAAAGTGTGATTTTATGTTATTAATTATGATGTTACGTTCTTAAGTCATAAGATTCTAGTAAATAAACATACCCGTGCATAAATAACTTGCAATTATTCTTACCATTTTTTAATTTATAGTTACTTATGGATCCGCTGGATATTCAAATTTAGTCACATCTATTCATACCCATTGTCATTCCTATTCAATACATAGAAACATGATTCTATTATTATTATTTTACCCAATTTCCTTACTCTCAATTTTCTATCTCTCCCACACTTTCACTTGCAAAGTACTTAGCCATGGGTTCCTTCAAGTGGATCAATTGCTTCATCATTTTCAATTTCTTCTCATTCTCAATCTCCACCAATTTTCTAGATGAAGCTAAGAACCCTGATGTATTTGATTGGATGGTGAAAATAAGAAGGAAGATTCATGAGAATCCAGAATTGGGTTATGAGGAATTTGAAACAAGTAAAGTGATAAAAGCTGAATTGGATAAATTGGGAATCCCTTATAGACATGATCAAGTTGCATTAACTGCTGTTATTGCTTTCATTGGGACAAAAAAATCTCCTTTTGTTGCACTTAGAGCTGATATGGATGCTCTTGCTTTGCAGGTTAACACACACACACACACATATATATATATACATACCTTGTTGATATTATTTCCTATATCATGGCTTTGACTTTTTAAGTTATGATAATTTTATGTGGGGTTGAGATAAAAAAAAGTGTTTTTTCTTTTGGAAAGTGATTATTTAAAGTAAGTTTGTGTCTAAAGTGAGCAATTGCTTTTCCTTAGTTAATTGAGATCATGGGAGCAAACATCATTATTTGCTTACTTTACAGGCAAACTCACAATTTTATGGTGTTCTTCTCTTGGCACGAGGATAAGGTTGTTGCTTAATGGCCATGAGTTCACGGGTTCAAAGTGATTATTTAGGAAAGTAAAAAACGTGCTTTTTATTTAGGAAAGTAAAAAAAGTGCTTTTTATTTAGGAAAGTGATTATTTAAAGTAAGTTTATGTCTAAAGTGAGCAATGGCTTATCCTTAGTTAATTGATATCATGGGAGCAAACATCATTATTTGCTTACTTCACAGGCAAACCCACAATTTTATGGTGTTCTTCTCTTGACACGAGTGTAAGGTTGTTGCTTAGTGACCATGAGTTCATGAGTTCAAATCCTGGAAATAGCCTCTCCACTTGCGGGGTAAGGCTGCGACATCTATCATCCCTAGACTTCACTAACAGCCTATCCGCTTGATGCGGGGTAAGGCTGCGTACATCTATCCTCCCAGACTTCACTAAGTGGTAGCCTCGTGCACCGGGGCACCACCCTCTTCTCTTTACAGTTTCTTAGTCCATCCGTTCTATATTTTACTGATTTGTTGCTATATCTGATCTTAGGAAAAGGTGGAGTGGGAGCACAAGAGTAAGGTACCTGGCAAGATGCATGCTTGTGGTCATGATGCACATGTAGCTATGCTACTTGGTGCTGCAAAGATACTCAAAGAGCATGAAAAAGAGATACAAGTGTGTGTTTCCACCTTGCTATTTACTTGAGAAATTTTGCCCTTCTGGTGATTATATTCTTTTTTCCTTGTTGAAATTTGTTGTTCTATAATGCCAATTAGTGAAAGTCAAACATGTCTTCTGTTTCTAACATATTGGCAAATTGATGACTGCTAGTATTTCCCTTTATGCTAGACTTCGAATATTACAATCATCCATCATCTATGCCTGACATGCAACTTAAACCTGAAAAATAAATCAATTTATCTTTGATATTTGCTATTTTGATCTTGTTACTTAATCCATAAGATAGGAGAAAATAAAATGAAAAGATAAAAAGTTCGCTAACTTTTTCACCATTTTTTTCTCTTTCTATTTGTTCTATAAATAGGGAACAGTCGTTCTTGTTTTCCAACCAGCAGAGGAAGGAGGTGGAGGGGCAAAGAAAATTGTAGAATCCGGCGCCTTGGAAAATGTTAGTGCTATATTCGGATTGCATATCACACCGAGGTTTCCAATAGGTGAAGTAGCCTCTAGGCCTGGTCTCGTGTATGCAAGAAGTGGCTTCTTTGAAGCAACAATTAGTGGAAAGGGTGGTCATGCAGCTTTTCCACAACATTCTATTGACCCTATATTGGCAGCATGTAATGTGGTTATTAGCTTACAACACCTTATTTCTCGCGAGGCCGATCCTCTGGAATCCCAGGTAAAACTTGTTTCATGTTTCTTTTCCATTTCCATCACCATGTCATTATTGCTTACATTATGGTTTCTTTATGTCCAAGGTTGTCCCATATTCTGAACGAATAGTTAAAGCAGTAGCCTTTTTTATTAAAGTTTACTCATGCTTATGTGACTAAGCCGAGTTAGCCGACAACCACATTCGTTAAGAAATTCTTAGATAATCTACATAAACTTTAGAAGTATGAAGTATCATTTCCACTTTAAGTCAACTTACTTTGTCTGAGAACTTGGGCTTGTTTATCATTGTTTCTCTGAGAATATGTTGTGTACAGAAAAATTAGCGTGACAGTTTTTGTTACACTGAATTTAGAAAGAATAGAGAATAGATGAAGAAAAATGGGGTTCAAATCCAAATTTTCCAGAATAGAGGGTGAGTTTGGCGCAACAGTAGGGTTGTTGCTTAGTGACCATGAGGTCACGGGTTCAAATCCTGGAAACAGTGTTTCTGCTTGCGTGGATAAGGCTGTGTACATCTACCATCCGCAGACCCCAATAAGTGGGAGCCTCGTGCATTGAGAGAATAGATGAAGAAAAATGTAGATCTGTATGTTTAATACTTTAATTTACTGAAATAACCTCTGATCAGGGATATTTGAACTCCCTAATTCTCTCCCTTACCTCCTAACTATCACTCTGTTCCCCAACCTATTTCTCTCGGTCGTGTTTACCCTTTTTATTACGGGTCACCTATCAGTGTTTTACTTGTTAAAACTGGATGTAAACTGGTTTTAAACTTTCATATAAAATAAAGCTTAAGAAAACTTCCATAAAAGTGGTAGGCCAATGTGTTTAACTTTAGTGGCAAATTTGCCTTTACTTTTTGAATCCCCTTTTATAATTGTATAGATGAAGCTTCATTATCAATGAATAAGGATGTTTTTTTTTTCTGCTTAATATAATAATGTCTAAAGTAATAGGAAGTAGATATGATAGATCGTGGAGGATTCAATCCAAAACCAGAAAGGAATGGGTTATTGAAGTTTTTGGCATGGAATGGGTTGGAAGATTGTGAGTATGACCATATAAATAGCCTTAATTTTACTATTTTTAGTCTCCTGAAGGAAGAAAATATCAGGATGAAAATAAGTTTTATCACAAGAGTGGTTAGAACTTGGAAGCCATAAATTATCAAGTTGGTAATTGGTAGTGAGTCTTCATAATGGAGCAATGTGAATACGAATTAAGTTCAATTAATAGAATTGATATTACCGTTGGAAATAGTCTCTCCGCTTATAGGGTAAAGTTGTGTACATTCTCAATAGTAGAGCTTTTTATGTAACTTATAATTTGATATTACTTTAGTTGTAACTTGCAAGGATCATCATTGTTAATGGATATGCTATGAACGCTATTACTTTTTACGTAACCAATTCCGAGTGATTAACTTGGCTGGAAAATTAACCTGCGATGATCTTTCATCAAGAGTTGATAACTGTCTTCCTGCGATGATCTTTCATCAAGAGTTGATAACTGTCTTGTTCACAGGGGAAAATTGCAAAGCATTGAAGACCCGAATCTATGAAAAGTTGAGATCGAGGAACACAATATCAGTTCACATCTCAATGACAAATGACAATAGGATATGGGTTACCCATATCTTTCGAGATCCACCCTACAATATGGGGCCAAAAAGGCAAAATAGATGATTTTAGCCTTTATAAGTTATTAAAAAATGGATTCCCCCTTTCACGCTCATGTCACGGCGAGGTACTGCAGAAGAAAAAACCGCAAAATCCGACCCCATTTTTCGTAATCGATTAGTTAACATGTTGGTTAATCGTATTCTGAAACACGGAAAAAAATCATTGGCTTATCAAATTAACCGTCGAGCTATGAAAAAGATTCAACAAACCAGAAATATAGGACCATGCTTCTATGTTCATGCATATTAACTTGCCTACATGTGATAATTTCTGGTTATTGAATATGGAGAAGGGCTTATATTCAGAAGAACCATTATGTCTGTTTAACATAGGGATTTACCTGCAGGTTGTGTCAATAGGAAGCTTCCAAGGAGGTAGTGCATTCAACGTTATTCCAGATTCTGTCTCAATTGGTGGCACCTTCCGCGCCTTTTCGAAAGAAAGCTTCATGCTCCTAAGACAGCGCATTGAGCAGGTGCGTTGTAGGGAAGAATAACTTCAATTTTTATATGGGTTGGATGAAATAAATGATCTCAATTATTTTAATAGACATCATCATTTCACAACCATTTATTATCTGTGCTTTTTTTCTTGTTGGGGGTAGAAGAACTTTATGCTTGATATTGAACATTAAGGCTATTCAATCAGGGTATAAGCTATATAACATCACTACATGTACTGCACTAATAAAAATTAAATGAACCAACAATCATGTTTTAAATTGATATATAATTAGATAAAGAATAACTGTTTTTGTTTATTTCTTGTGGGAGTACAAAACTGGTTATTTTTCTATACTTCTAA